TTAAAAGAAATGAAGACAATTCCAGAATCATAATCCTGGAACGTTCAGCTGTGTCCTGTACTCCGTGCACTCCATTATGCCTACATTTTGCAGGGATCCTCTGTACAGCAAAGGCTGTTCCTCTGCTCCATAATCCCTACTCACTGTGGACTAGTTAAGGATGGATTTGTATCGTCTTAACTGCAAATTCTCCTGCTTTTGGGTGTCCTTGCTGAGCCTTTAATAAGAAAGCTTTGAAGTTTAATTACTCTCTTAGCAGTTGCAACCATTATACTTGAGATATGTACAAGGTAAGGAATAAGATTGTAAAGGAGGAGTTAACTTGGATCAAAAAGGGAAAACTTTAATCAAGAGGGGTAAGTTTTATTCATCAATAGCTTTGACAAAATGACCTCTGGTGTCACGCACACCAAAGCCAACTTTCAAACCACCCCAGTCTGCCCTCTTGCTCCTTCCAGCAAATTCTATCCAATCCCTAATTACAAGAGGCAGTTGTCAATCAAGGGTGGGAGACGAGAAGATTCACTTTAAAAGTTCACTTTATACAATATGCTGGAAAGAACACGTGCAGAGCAGCCACCCAGAAGATGACAATCCATGGCATCCCAAAGGAAGAGCGACATCAGAGAGAAGGTGTCACAGTGGCACAACTCGTGAGACCACGGACACGGGAACACTGCTCTGACAAAGATATATTGCCAAGTTCCCTTTTCCAGAGAAAGGGGCACGATTAACAACCCATGTGCCAGCTAACAGAGGGCAGATCAGCACAGGGGAAGCATTTCCAGAATATTTTATGTGATCAATCAGTTTATTCAACCTTTCCAACATGCTGAGAAACCCTTGGAGCTAAACTGGAAAAGAACATAAAGGAAGGCACTGGGAATACAGATCCACCTAGAAATCTCCTCTTCCACCTTTACAGTTGTTTGTCTGATGACACAGACACAGTTTTAAGTGAGAAGGTACACAGATATAAATGATATTCCATTTGATTCAATTTTTCTTGCTCTGTCTATAAAGCTCTTTTTTTTCTCCTGTCATTTTCCAGTCTATCCTGGCAGCCACATTATTTCCATGTACATCACATATTCTACTGGCTCACATCAATTCATATTACAGATTAGCACCTATGTATTAAACTACACACACTGAAAACAAGGGGAGGGAAAAGGCACCAAGATTCTTTAGAACTGTCAATGTAATACAATGCCTGATGTGTCCATAAGAAAAGCTCAGCATTTTTATATTTGTTTTACTGGCAAATTTTTCAAATGCCAGATATAGTAAGAAAACTGGAGTGTTTCCTCAAGTTGATAGGGCACTTCTAAACCCTGTGACACAAAATATGAGGGTAAGACATGGTTTTACCCCATTTACCCTGACTTCATAAAATTAAAAATCCCCCTAAATAATTGCCATCTAAGTACAGCATGCCTGGTCTCTCATCAGAAGAAAACACTGACAAAGTTAGAAACTGTTGTCACCTAAATATTTGTATAGAAAAAAAACAGCCAGCATATTCGCATTAATTGATAGCTTGACTTTTCCCTTTCCAATCTTCCTTCACATCAAAACATTACAGAGGTTTCCAAACTTGCTGGTTGAGAGGCAGAATTTATTATCTCCCTGAGTCATTAATTTTAGGCTCCAATAAAAGTAGGAGGTCATTAATGATGTGATAAATTACATCCCATCCCCGAAGTTGCTAAATCAACGGGAGGGACACTCTCAAAAACATCCTGCCCAGAGACCACCAGGTTTCCAAGATCTGCTGAGGAACCACCAGCACTTCAAATGCTCCAAGAGCTGCTTGTGCACTGTGCTGGCTGAGGCTGCAACCGCCAAACCCCGGTGTTTGTGCCAAAGCCCTTACGCAGATGCACGATTGGAACTTATAAATTACACGGAGAAACAGCTAAAGGCTCGTGAAACTCCCAAACATCCCTGCTTCCACCAGTGTGGTCAGCAGGGCTGTAATTTCTGTGAATCCAGCATCTGGGCTTCTTGGAATTTACCAGCCCTGCTGGCAAAGCAGTCACGTCTTGTAACTTCCCTGCGGGCAGGAAGGAGGTTTCAGGAACTTACGAGCTCCCGGGGCTGCTGCAGGGACTCTCACAGAGAGCGGGACAGATAGCCCAGGGACTCTCACAGAGAGTGGGACAGATAGCCCAGGGACTCTCACAGAGAGTGGGACAGATAGCCCAGGGACTCTCACAGAGAGTGGGACAGATAGCCCAGGGACTCTCACAGAGAGCAGGACAGATAGCCCAGGGACTCTCACAGAGAGCAGGACAGATAGCCCAGGGACTCTCACAGAGAGCAGGACACATAGCCCGTGTGCGTGGAGCTCTGCCAAGCCCACTCACAGAACAGCTCCCAGCCCCGCTCGGCCCCAGCACAATCAGCTCCGCTCCCCCCGGAGCTGCACGGACACGGCTCTACTGGACGGACCCGGGAAACACCGAGCTCGCGCACACCGAGCCCTGCAGGTAGTCTGGGACACATCCACCCTGCATCCCCTAGCACAGACACCAGAGCAGCCAGAAACCACATTCCAGCCCCAGGGCGCTTCTGGGAGGCCCGATGGAAGGTGAAGATGTCCCTAAGCACGAAGCAGTTGTTTGCTCCTCTCGTTTGAGACACCCCAAGCCGCCTTTGAACCGGAATCACCGAGAAACACCAAACTGCAGTAACAGAGGGGCAACACTGAACCCTGGGGAGCCAAGTGAGGCCAAGGGGACGGGACAGAAGGGAAAAGCAAGGAAAAGAGACTCCTGGATATATTGTACTGTGTGATGTGAGACAAAATATCCCACCCTGAGGAACAGAGTAGCAAAATACTCAAGAGAACAACACCTACTCCTGGGTACATTGTATTGTATAAAGTGGGACAAAAGATCCCACAGGAGAGGACAGATGTAACAAAATAGTATCAAACTATTATTTCACTATTGTTTGATGTGTAGTGCTTCACCTGCTTGAGCCTGATCTTCTAAGCACAGCAGTCTGATGAGTTCTAAAGCCTTGGGCTGTCAATACAAGAATATTCCACGTACATCAGTACAGTGGATGTGAGTTAACACAACATTCTACTTCCTGACCCTAACTGGATACTGGACTTAGTTATTTCTGGAAGTTTCCATCCAATCTCTGCCTCCAAGGGCCTACAAAATCACTAAGCAGTTTTTGGGGAGCATCTGCATCTCCCTACACCAACAGTGTTAGATACCACAGCCTCCTCATTCAGTCAGAGCCAGCACAGGCCAAAGAATGCTCTGGGCAGTGGAACCAAGCCAAGGTGTCTGATCTCCCCTCAGCACAAGAGAACAGCCTTTGGAGGGGAGAACTCACGGATATCAGCCAACAAATACCAGCCCCCCAAGGAAGAGAAGATTTTGCCCCACTTGCAGCAACTTTACCAAATGGAAACAGAAACCATATTTTGCACAGAAGGCGAAGGTGCAGGAGCATCTTCAGAAAATTCCACAGCAGGGCAGAAAAGCTTAACCCTCCCCAGGCAGTCCTGCTGCTCCTAAGGTCACATGGAAAGACTCCTTTGGAGGCATTACAGAAACTCACCTGCTTTCCCAAATACCACAGAGGGTGGGGAATTGCTTGGACAAGGCAACAAACAAGCCCCACACAGGACACAATGTTTGTATGGAACAACTACCTCACTTAGATAACTTACTCTTCTCTCTTTCATGCCATGTTAAAGAAGTGAACTGACTCTGAGGGGCTGCAGGGAAGTCACTACCACAGTTTAAACAAGAGGAAAATTAGTTTAACTGCATCTGCTAGACAGTGCTGACACTCTCCATAACGCCATTATCTTCCTTTTTAAGGTGAGTCTGTTGAGAGGATTCACAGGTTTGTCTCCTTTCACCCCTGAAGGTTCCTTTCCTGATGAACCAGAGCAGAGGACTGCACAAGCCAGAAGTGAAGAGGGTTACTGTAGCACACAGGAAAGAACTCTTGCCTCCAGCTGAGAACGACCTTGCACAAAGCCCCCAGCTCCAACAGGCGGCCAAGTTCAGCTAAGAAGCTCCATCCCAGTTTCACAGATGATCCCTTATCCCAAAATAAGCCGAAGCAAAAGCCCAAATTCAAACTCCTTTAAACAGAGCGAGAATTTCTGGAGCCAGCCCCGGATATAGAGTCTGGGAGCTTTCTGTGGCAGTCGGTCCCCCCGGAGGGCGCTGTGCCTGTGGGTACCATCGCAGCTGCTGCACCGCAGCCCTGCCAGGCGCGCTGTGCCCACCGGGGCCTTTGGGAAGCGCTCGCACAGGGTTGGTTTGCCCGCCCGCCACCGCCCCGCAGCACCGCACACAAACCCCTCGTGCCGCCACTCGGCCACCGGAGGGCAGCACTTCATCTCCACAGCCTTTGCCTCATCTCCAAAGGGAATTCATTCCTACGCTGAGGATCCACAACACATCGCCTCACCCCAAGACTCTCATAAAAGCCTCCTCTGTGCTACAGCAAAGCACGGTGGTGCCATTAAATTCCCCACTCTGCTCTGCACTTTCCTGTGAGTGTCTCTGAGAGGTGCAGAGTGCAGGAGGAACTGTGCTGAGCTGACTTTTTCAAGGAGATCCATTGAGGAAACATCTCTTTATTTAGCCAGGGTGCTGTTTGTTTCCATGAAGCATTCCCAATCCCATAGGCTCATGGTATTTTGTGCTGCCTGTAAATCCATATGTTTTACCCAGCAACAATAGCAATTCATCTAAAGCCCTGTTTGTAAAGCTCAGCGTTCTTTAATGTGCACGTTCACGTAAAACCACAAATCTAAGTTAAGCAATTTTCACCCCAAAAGAACTGGCTGCTTCAACTTCCCTTGTTTTTTTCTTCTTTTTCATTTTCCTGCTATCAGCTCCCCTATCATTTGGATAAATCCCCACCAGTCAGACCACACCCTCACATCAACATCTGAATTTCAATTTGCTTACTTGCCCCTGAGTGCTGTCAGCCATGGGGGGCACAGGCCCACTTACCGCGTCCTCAGCAGCATTCCCTGGACAAGGATCTGGGAATATCAGGCTCCACAGTCCCTTCACATGCAGCCTGAAGTGCAGTCCAGCTTCCTGGGGTGGTAGCCACAGACCTGCGTGGACAGAACCCAAAACATCCATCAAACAAGCCCCACAGGGTTTTTCTCTCCCCTATTTTCTTTTTAAAGGACTGAACAGACAATGCACCACGTTACCACACCTCTCCCCCACCCCAGCTGACAAGTTCCCCTCATTTTGGTCCCTTCTTTCTCAGACACTCAGCCAGGAGCTGCAAGGATAACCAGGGCTCCAAGGGCAGATGTTAGCACTGTGCCACCAGAACTGCAGGATTGAATTTCCAGGCTCATCCAGGGACCTGGTCCCTGCTGTGACCCCCTCCCTCCACACCCACCTCACACCCCTGCATGGCACTTGGTGCAAGGGAAAAGGGAAATTTTGCTGGCACTGCCACATTCAATTGCTATGGGAACACCCCCCTAATAAAAACAATCTGTTGTACAAGTTCCTTTTCCTATTAAAAGCCCTACAAGTCAAGCCCCACAACTAAATACTTGTACTGGAAATCTTCCAACCATGACTGGAAAAACACACTGACACGAAAGTTTATTTTATAAGACACCAGAGGGGTCACTTCCAGATTAGGCCAGATTGAATTCTCCTCACATTTTGTGAAACTCTTCAGGACATTTGTTGTGGCATTCCACAGTTCTCCAGGCAAAAAGAAAAAAAAAGGAAAAAAAAAGAAAAAAAAAAAAAAAAAAGAAGGAAAACATACTGTATAGAGGTTGCAGATGCAAGAGCTGAACACTTCTTTTTAGAAAATACCAACCTACAATAACAAATAATTGTGCTATTCACAAGAGAATCATTGAGTATTGCAAAACTTGATAATTACTGATTCATGACAGATTTAGGAAAAACATCAGCTTAAGTAATCAGGTCAGGGCACTGCTCTTGACCACAGTGCTGGCAAAAGAAACAGTTTCTGTCTTCATATCTTTCATCAAAGTTTAACATTTCACAGTATTTAGCTTTTAGCACTTCATTGGTCCAGACCAGTAAACAACTGATAGCTTGAGAAGGAGAAGTTAAATTGTGAGCAAACATCTCTGGTTAGTATTATCTTGTAATTCACTTACACCGGTCACATAGTTGTAAATCCAGGTTAGTAAAATCACTGAGGAGCCCTGAGAGCTCTAAATTATGGTTGCTGCTAATAAATTCACCAGATGATTAATCCCTTACACAGCCTGGCACCAAAGGTATGCTCTGTCACATTTTGCCAACTGGGAATAAAGATTTCATTCAGCCCTCAAGGTGGACAAAACAAACAAACCCACTTTTTTTGGGGAAGGAAATGTGTGTGATCCTCATTTCCTCCTGGAAAAGCCAAGAGTTTCCCTCTAATGAAGATGACTGCAAACAAACCCACTCCACTTTCTTCCATGCCTCCAAGATATTCTTTGCCTGGCAGTGGGAACTCATTCTGGAAAGGCAGCAGTGCAGTGAAAGATCTCCTGACTCCAAATGAAGTATCGTGGTAGCTCCTATTTCCCTTCCTAAGATCACACTAAACAAACCAAAACCCCGAAAGTGAGAAACTCTAAATCCACCCCAAGTAAAGATTTGTTTTGCTGTGGAGAAAACGCGTCCTTACCTCTTCCCCTAATGACGCTAAATCTGACTTGCACAACCAAGTGGGGTTTAGAGCTTTAAAGCCACTTTAAACACCACAACTTGTACTTCAGGCCTTCCTCACCAATACATGTCCTGCACCACAGAAGGCTCTTACTAAATGATGTCAGCCCTGGTGGAGATGAAAGGTCCTTAATGAAGAACCTGGAGCCATTCAATCCAAAGAAAGGCCACAGACATCAGCTGGGATTTTCTGCAGGGAAGTATTTTTGATACACATGGTGTGACTGTTAACTCTGAATCATTAGTAGCTCTGAAGGAATGTTGTAAAACCCCTGACTGCTCTACCTTCAGAGAAACAAAGCTAACCTCCTCTTCCCTCCTTTTTGCTTTTGGCAATCTCCTTTTGAATCCACATAACGAAGGGGACTGAAGGAAAGCATGGGAAAAACATGGAAAGGCCCTTTTAAATAACTGCAGTGCCACAGTTTGAGACGAAAGCCACCTCCATTATCCTCATACCCTCCCCTTTAAAGCAGCGTTTGTCAGCAACTACCAGAGCTGTCCCCAAAAGCCACATGCACAGTTACCCACAGAAATGGAACAGGCTCCCAACCCACTGCAGTTGGACCACACAGGTTTGGATGCATCTCCAGTGCAACGCAGAGAAAGAATCTGACCCTTAGTCCTAAATCTACAAGTGCCAAAAAGGCTATTTTACAATCACACAATCAAACAAGCTATTCCAACAGACTTCATCCATCCATCTGCAGCATGACATGTTTCCATGTGCCCACAGCTTCCTCGCAGATACCACTCAGGAGCTGCAGTAACAGTCAGAGAGTTGTATATTAAAGGCCTTCCTGAAAGATTTACAAATTCCAGATACCTAATCACTGAGACAGATAATTAATAACTCAGCCACAATTTGCTGACAAAATGTTGAACTGAGGGCTCTCCTTTGATTTAAACACAGACAAGCTCAATCAATCCTGCTTTTCCCGCTCCATGTTTTCTTGCAGAGGCTGAATTTTTATGGCAAAAGCCCTATTAGGAGATCTACATCTGAAAATGAAGGATGAATGCGAGCAGAAAAGACCCAGCCCTGAAACTCTGACACATTCTAATTCTTGCTGCTAGAAGTGAAAACTTCTATATCCCCAGTTTAAAGTGCTGTCAAACAGTGAGAGAGGAGAATAAAGGAGCTGGGAATCAAAACCCTTTTCTACACAAAATGGGATGAAAGGTTGTAACTAAGGAGTCTGGAAGTAAGTGGTATTAAGACACTGAGTAGGACCCAGGTAAACTCACTCCCCCTCCTCTGCACTGATGCAACTTTTCCCACCAGCCTGCTGGTCTTTGTTGCTACTTCATGAAGCACGGGAGGACAGGAGGACAGAGCAGTGCTCCAAGTGCAGCTTGGTCTGCACAGAGCCCAGAGCCCTTCCCAAAGCTCATCCCTCTCCTCTGCCTTGGCCTGCTCCAGGCTGTACCTGGCATCCCTGGCATCCCTGGCAGCCCCGGGAGCTGCAGGAGCAGGGCAATACCTAGGGGGCCGCTCTGCAGCCTCCAGAGAGGCGCAGTTTAATATCCTCATCCCCACAGCCGTATTTACGACCTGCAGCTGCAGTGCCAGAGGCCCACGGCCCCTCACACACTGAGGCTATTGTTGGCCAAACAGAGCTCGGGGTTCTCTGCACTGACACACCGGAGTTCCCTGAGCTGCACTGCCCTGCCATGCACAGGGCAACTGGTTTGGCCTTCTACCCATCGGGTTAGTTTGGGCCTTTATCACTTCTAAAGTATAACAGCCCTCAAAGCAAGGTAAGGGGTGAATGGGCAGGATTGAATTTGTCAGAGCTTGGGGCTTCCAGGGAACAAGAACTTGACTCGCTTCATTAAAAAAAAGAATCCCCATGTAACACATAATTTAAAATGAATAGATATGGTAAGAGATGTGTCAGTGTGTTACACAAATGGAGTGTTTGGTGCTGTTCTGCAGCCACTTCAAAGGGATAGGACACCTCAGTGCCTGGGAGATGTGGGGTTCCTGCTGTCTCACTCCCAGAGCTGAGCTTTTGCCTCATGTGGTTGAACTCCCACGGAGCATATTTTGAGAGCACACAGGGTTAGGGGCTTTTCTGTGCCAGCTTTTAGTGGTATCATCTTCCAGCCTTCCAGAATTCTGATGCCTTTCAACCATATGTATCTGCAGAGAGGGCTGAGAGGATAACCCCTTCAGAGAGGAAAATCCCCACTGGCATTTTTCTTCTGCTTTCTGTATGACAGTTTACAGACAAGCACTAAGTAAGTTTAATATTCCAGGGAATTCAAACGCCCTGACACACATCCTGTACTATTAACATGCAGATATTGAGCAGAGAAGTTGTGTCCCTGGACAATAATTATCTGGTTAAGTGGGCAGGTTGTTTGCCAAGTTCACCCCCACACAATATAAATAAGAAATGCTCCTGCTTTTTTCTCAAAAGGGAAAGAAAAGAACAGCAAACTCAGAGAGTTCAGAAGATGCTTATGGAACCAAATTATTGTTCAATACACCCAGTGATGCTGATGTTTATGAATTTTAAAAGGCAGAGCATTATCAAGAGCTCTGTCCCACAAACGTGTTCCTTTAAGGTCCTTTCAGTTCAGCATTTCCAAGAGGTGCCAGTTTTTTGTGCTGAAGGATCACAGCCCTGGCAGGGTCCGTGCTGGGCCCACGAGGCTCTGCAGAAAGCATTGGCTTAAAGCTTTCAAACATCCTGCCTTGCAAGTGCTTAGCACTTCCCGAAAATCAGGAATCCTCTGCATCCTCTTAAGAAAGGTTACGTTATTCCTGCTAATTCCAGAAATCTAAATACAATGCTGGAAAACACCAAAACATCGAAAGTAGGAGATATTAAGAGCTTGGGTTACAGTTCTGGGAAAAAGTTCTAAAGAGGTCTCACTGTAACCAAACTGGTTGAAACTTGGTACAGTATCAGACTTTGACTCCTGTACAGCACCAACGCTGCTTTTCCTAAAAAAACCAAGGAGCAGGAATGACAACTCCAGTGTTACAAAAACCACACACCTACAACTGATGTTTTCTGGTTGGTGTTTCTCTAGTATGAGAAAGAGAAAAAAAAGAAAGAAAATCACTGGTAGAGAATGGAAAAGAACTGCTACACAATATAAAAAGACAGAAAAAGGCAGAAATACAAGCAAAAGATAGGAAGAGTGTTCACATTCCAGATTGCTCAGCAAAATAAAATCTTCACAGCAGTAGTAGTGCAACTAACTGAAGTCAAGGCCCAGATCTGCCCTATTTGAAATTCCTAACACATTAAGTGGTCTTCACCTGGGTGGTTATTCCATAAAAACAGATATTCTGGGGTTGTGAGTAACCTTGTGCTAAGCTGGGCCTCAACATTATGCTCTGGAAAACACAGAGAGAGCACTTATAAACCACACCCTTGATTTTTCAAAGGGAAGCCTGAAATGAACATCACACACAAGGATCAACAGGAGGGGGTTGCAGTCCTGAGAAGCACTTACTCCCAAGTACTCCTGAAAAATACTGACACACCAGAGGTGATGAACCTCAGGGGGAGAGTGAAATGGGCTCATCCTTCCCCCACACGTCCTCATTGTATGGGTTGTTTTCAGCCCTATCAGAGAACCCCTCACACTTCCAAAGCCTTTCCATTCCCAGTTTATCACGGCTGTACAGCTGCAGCAACGCAAAAGATGGGCAGACTCCAGGAGACACCTTTCTCACGGTCAGCACCTTACGTGGGCATTCAGCTTTCTGCTGGAGCTCCCCGAACCACATGGAACACCAGACCACATGGCCATAAACTGCGGCAGAAAAGCAAATTGCACCTCTGACAGATTGTACACAAACCACAGGCTTGATCTTTAGCGGCAGTCAAAGGAAAAGACACAGAAGTGTAACAATGTTATACTTCAATATCCTCAGAGCATTGTCAGACACGTCAAAATGGAATCTCGGGTTAGCCCAAATTCGCCAAAGGCCTCAGCACAACCCAACTCGTGCAGGTCTCCCATACAGGAGGTAACTTCAGCAAAATTAAGGCTGAATTCTGCTACCAGATTTACTAATCCAGCTCTCATCCATTCTCCTCAAGTCTGTGTTTGCACCATCTGTCACCTCTGAACCCTACTGTAATGCAAAGCAGTAACAATAAATATATGGTTAATTTTAATGAGAGGCTTAACCAGAAGGGGAGAATTTGTTCTCTGTCGCTTGCTACTGGCGGTGTGATCCTTAATAACGTTTTGTAATTTCAACACCTGTGATAAGAAACTGATGTGGTGAATTTTTGCCTCTCACTGTCAGGTTTCTATGAAAAGTGAGAGCAATTTGCTCCCACGGTTCTTCTCTCAAATTAAGTTTACAGTGCAGTAACACCTCACGCCACATGCCATATGCTCACAATGCCTCCCTTGAAGAGAAATAAACTTGTAAACTCTTACCTCGAGTAAAAGTTTAACATTTGTCATATTTAATCAGCAATAAAGTCAGACATCTAATTCTTCACAATTTATCCTTCACCAACACTATGTCATTTCCAAGTTGAAACACGGAAAAAATTTTGACATTTGCAGGCAGCGTGGCAGAAAGGCAGCCTGCCATGTTATCACAATAATTTATGTTCTAAAATTCCTGCGAGTCCAACGCGAACATAACATCTCCACCATTCCAGCCCTCAGTTTAGACAACTCCAGTGTTACTGGATGTGACGTGCCCCGGACCAGAAATCATCTTAAATTGACACCAACGGTCCCCAGAGCTGACAAACACAAGTTGCTTAAACCCGTGTGCTTCATTTTCTGTTCTAGTGAGCAGTGTTTGAAACAGGAAGAGGGGGTCAGATCTGGGAGTAGAAGAGATTAAACTGCAATTTTGTTTTCCTCATTTTCGGGCTTGCCTCTAATATCAATCTCAGCCTGCTCTAAATTACGTCCAGCTGTCTACTGCCCCCAGGGACAGTTCTAGCAGCCAGAATTAGTTGGGAGTGCAGTGACATTTTAACCACACACAGTTTTCCTTCAGCCTACCTATCCCTGGGTTTCTGAGGACAATGGGGGGTGGCAACGCATCCTGCCAGCAAGAAAAAATGCGAACGTTTTGGTCGTAAACACATTCGAGTTAAAGAATTTATGAAAACTGCGGGGTTTTAGGAAAGCAAAGACTGAGATGTGACAGAGAGTTCACTGGAGCAGTAGGGAATAGAGCACACCACTTCCAGAAGGAGCCAAACACATGGAAAAAAGGCAAAATCAGGGGCCAGCCTCACAGGGCTGTTTCACGTGCCAGTGCCTGCTGTAAGGGTTGGCCTCAGCAATGCCACGATGGATGGCCACGGAAGGATGGATGGTCTGGCCACCCCGTCATCCTCAGCCATCTCAGAGATGTAAATAAGTTGTTCTCCTGCTGAGCAGCTCTTCACATACCTCACACTCCCAGCAGCACTTCCAAGGGTCTACATTCTGCCATCCTGCATCAGGCAAACCTCCAGTTGCCTCGGTAGGAAATATCTGAACTACCAAACCATGAACCCAGTCGGTCTCCCAGCTCCATTTAAAGGGCTGAGAAGCATCCTTGGCAGGACAGGGCATTTCATCAAATGTATAACACTGTCTGAAGGCAAGTGAAGAGGATCCCTGCTCAGACACTGCTCATACATCCTCCAAAATGATGGTTCTGCTGTTCTGCTCTTTCCAGACTGAAAACAAACAACTGCCCTGCCACACAGTGTTTCTCTAGGTGGTAGATTAAGACAAAACTTTTAAATATTTTGACTTAATCCAGAATCCAACAACTTAAATTCTGTTCTCTTTGTGTGGCAGATATGACAGTGCATTCAAAACTCACTAAGTGGTGCTGCCAGTAGATAGAAGCACTATCATTATGCATTCATCAGACTATTCGAAATGCCTATACTGTTTTCTATAAGCAGGAAACAGTAAAATTTCAAAATATATATCATCATCATATATATGATATACATCACAAATATGAATCCAATTTACACCAGCAGAAGTGAATATCTCAGAGCCAATCTAACACTTTGAAGCTGTATTTCTAAATAATAACATAGAGGCTTTATGGGGATCATTTTGGAGCAGGAGAAGACATATCAAAAGAGAGTTTATTAAATGTGTTGGCATATGAAAGCACATGGAAAATGACCTAAAACGTAGTCAACCTAAATTTTCTCTCCTACTTGATGTTTTTGTTTCTGTACTTTAATTACCAGTGAGGTGTGTGGACTGTCTGTACAGTTTTAGGAGTCCCACTTGCCTATAAAACTGCAATGAGAGGGAAGATCCTGTCTTCTCTCATAACAACGTAAAAAAATATAAGATTGGCAATATACAGCTAAAAGTATTCTGAAATACCAGCTTGGTACATTCTAAAAAAGGTAAGACCATCAGTGATTGGATTCAGAGACAAAATTAATGAGCACTGTATGGTCATCCATAATGGAACCAATGCTTTATGTAAGATCAACTCTAATTTATGTAAAGTTTATGTTATAAACATAACATTATGTCTATCTAATGTTAAAAATTGAAGGGATTGGATAGGAAAGGTATTCTCTAGGCAAGCAGTGCCAGAGGTCTGCAGCCTAATAAAACATTTTTTTCCAGGAGATTTTAAGTTCTCTAGGCCCTTTAAGGTCAGCATTAAGGAGGTTAAAACTTTTTTTTAAAATTAGAGACCTCATGTTCAACTAGGGGAACAGAACAGAGCTGTGCTAACTCTATCACAGGGTCCCCAGAAGCAAAGTTGGGGAATTAAATAAAGATCCAGTTTATCCCTCTGTAGAAACAGTTCCTGGAGACCTTCTCCTCACCAAAACCCACAAAAGCTTCTAAATCCCTGCAATCCCCCCTCGTCCCCCATTCTGTCCAGGAACTTTCCCACTGGGTAGGGAAATAACAGCATTTCACACACATAAAAGGTTTTTAGAAGAGCTGATTGCTGAACTTATGTGATCTCTGTGGAACAGTCATTCCCGTGTGAAGGACTCCTCACAGCTTTTACTTACGGAATATAAAACGTGCATGAAAATACTTCAATCTTGCTATTTTAAATTTCAAGGGGAGGTTTTGATTAAATATTAGGGAATTTTTATCCACATAAAAGATTGTAAAGCACTAGGAACAAGCTGCCCAGGGCAGTAACAGAGTCACAACCCCTGGATGTGTCCAAAAACGTGCAGCTGTGGCACCTGAGGGCAAGAATACTGGAAATAGGTTCTTCTTGCAACCAAGAGCCAGGGTAAGAGATTTAAAGGCCTTTTGTAAGGTTTTTTCTTCTAAATCTCCTCACGTTCAGCCTTTGGTTCACACAATGCATGTCATGGAAGGAGTGACAATTACATCGGCTTGGGCTGAGGGAAAACCAGCATTTTCACACCCGATTACAACTCTAATGGTGAACTTAAAACCTTAAACGTTTTGGGGTTTTAACCTTAAAAGTTTTGGGGTTTTTTCCAACTTTAACGATTCTAAGGTTTTGTGACTCACAGTGGTGTCCGAAACGATGGATGTTCCACGGAGACACCAACGAGGACACGGCCGCCTCCTGGCCGGGAGAGCCAGGTGCGTGCCCGGCCTGAGGCGCTCCCCTCACGGCCTTGAGGCGCTCCCCTCGGGGCTGTGAGGCGCTCCCCTCACGGCCTTGAGGCGCTCCCCTCGGGGCTTTGAGGTGCTCCGCTCAGGGCCGTGAGGCGCTCCCCTCGGGGCCGTGAGGCGCTCCCCTCGGGGCTTTGAGGCGCTCCCCTCACGGCTTTGAGGCGCTCCCCTCACGGCTTTGAGGCGCTCCCCTCACGGTTTTGAGGCGCTCCCCTCACGGCTTTGGGGCGCTCCCCTCACGGCTTTGAGGCGCTCCCCTCGCGCCTTGCCGCGCCCCGGGCTCCCCTCACGGCCCCAACATGGCGGCGGGGCCGCACCTGCCCCGCTCGCGGCCGCCCCGCCCCGCCGCGGCCCCGCGGGGCCGGCAGGGGGCGTGCGGGGCTCCGGCGGGACAGCGCCGCTTCTATTTAGCGCAGGGCCGGCTCCGGGGCACGCACCGACCCTCGGGGGCCGCCGCACCG